AATAATAATAATAACAATAGCTTTGTGTTGAATAACATTTTGTATAGTTTACGATGAATATTACTATTCATATGACATATATACGTATACAATCGAGGTGTAAGAGTTTGTAGTAGGCATTATTATAATGAACGCAATTAAAAAATCGAATACTTATTTATTTTGCAGACCTAGAGGATGGGATTATTTTGTACACACCGGCTGAAATTTTCTGTGAAAATAATGTTGGAACTTATGGTACAGAGTTTTTACGTTATCTTTTGACTGAAGAAATGCACTCACTTTCATCAGCATCATCATCAAATCCAACTAAGGGAATAGATTCAATTTCAGCAGGTACCAAATTTTCATTAGATCAATAATCATAAAGACAAATTTAGTTATACTTGAGTTCAATCATTGTACTTAAGTAAATTATCTTTATATATTTGATTAGATACAAATATCAAAATCTGTATATTCGTACGGATAAAAATTGAATGAGTTATGTTTAAATCAGTTAAAAAACATACACACTTCATTAGCTTTTTTTTTGAACATCTCCAACGAAGAAAATTATTGCACTTTTTGTAAAAATTGTAAAAAAATGTCATGTACACGATCGGTGGGTAATTTTTATAAGAATTAATTAATTCCATTTTAAACAGTAAATAAGCTTGTAGTTGTTTATTAGGAAAAAAAAATTTGAAAACAAACGTCTACACTTTGCACTGATACGAGGTAAAGGAACATAGGTACTGGAAACAGTGTCGTTTTATCAACCGTAACTATGGTGGATGTTTGAGAAAATCGAATTTTCTAGTGTACCAAATACGGTCAAGTCACTATAACTCGATTTTTTTTTATTTCCCTAGTCATTTTCATGACACTCAATAATTTAGGTATCTCATATAATACTTATTTCGAACGAATTTTTATCCCCCTTCAACTTCGAGTTATCACGACTCATGATCAAAGGTTATGATAGTAGATAAAAAATATTGAGTGTCTAACAAATAGTTAAAATTTCACATTGTCCATGGAAATCGATAATTGAACGTGGTCGATATGGTATCTCAGGGTGTGTCCACTGCTTTTTTGTTTAACAAAAAAATGTAAATTCTTCAACCATGTTTGAGGGTCCAGCAAGTCACTGAAAATCGTTTTACGTTCAACTTAGTCACCCAGGTAAGCAATCCGATTGCGTCGGATCGTCGACAATATGAATCTTCATATAATTTAGGTTGGTATGTACGACGATGAGTGGATGGAAGCGAAACTTAAGATTGTAAAAGGCAGTACGCACTAAAAAACGTGTAAAAAATGCTCTTGCTGTTTGTTTTTTACTAACCTTAAATCGTGAATTATGATACCAGTTGCTTAACTGATAACGCTAAATTGATAAAGTAGCCAACGCCAACATGGCCGCCGCGTTTTGTTTACATTTTGTAGTGTCTGTTCTGATTTAATCTATTCTGTGATTGTAATAGGATCAGTATTCATAAAAAACGAAAATGATACTAAGTGATCAGCGCCGCTGTGTAGGTGAAGTAAGTAAATTATCTTTTTATGTATGATGCAAGGTCGTACTTGCTGGAAAAACTTGTTTTATTTTATTAAAATAGGTAATGATAATGGATGAAAGTTTCAATATTTTGGCTTAATTTAGTGAAAAATGTATGAAATATATAAATTACATTATACAATATATTTACATAGTTCTAGTTATGTTGTTAGATTTTTGATCACTTGACATTGATGTATTGATACATTAATTTTAAGCTAACAAGAATTCACTGTTTTACAGGTTCAAAATGGATTGTATTTTAATAATATATCAAACATATTACTATAGTTTTTTCGTACATAATGATTAACAAAAAAACACTTACACTTAAATGATTAAGAAGAATAAAATCTTCTATATTTTTAAATTTAGAATCCATTCACATTACAATTAAATATTAATTTTGTTTTTATTCCATCAGTAC